ATCAGTCCATTCATCAGCCATGAGTATGCAGTCACTGTTTGTCCATTTAGCCCGATGGCTACCAATAAGCAACTAACATTCTTTTCTTCAATCACTTAGCAAATTGGTTTTGAAATCATAAGTACTAGGGGCTTCAAATGTAGGCCCAATTGAAGTAATACCATCCACAACTTTTTGAAATAAAGGACAATCAAATGGTTTAAATGGAATGCAGCTCACAATAACCTATTCAGCAATCAACATCTTCACATTGTGTTTTGCTTCTTTAGTTGCTAATGTACTTTTAATACCAGGTTGCCAATCAGGAGTTGTGCGAGGGGCAAAATAATTGTCCGTACTCCCAATAGCTTCTCTCTTTTTTGCACTACTCATGATGATCGATGAATCAACATGGGTTTCTTCAATTTTCTCTTCTATATTTTCAATAGCTTTTTTCTTTAAACACTCTTTCAAAGATTTTGTCATTCTATGACGTACATCATGCGAAACTGTTTTACAAGAAGGTATTTGACCAGTGATACTAGTGAAATATTGTTTCATCCTATTTATCCCATCTCCTCTATAACTATTATCACAAAAAAGGCAAGCATATACATTTTGTGTCCCTTCTTTCTTGTAAGCAACGTGTGCCCATGCAGTATCATTTTTTGCACGTTATGAAGAAATGGGTGTAGGAGGAGTGGAAGTTCGGTATTAGGAGTGGAAGATTCAGTATTAGGAGTGACATTATCATTTCTAGAACTTTGATTATTTGAAATATCCATCATTTCTACCTCTTTGAAAGGAAACAAAATCCATATAAAATCAATTTAATCCGGTATCAGTTTATCTATCATACACCGATATGTCAGTCATGATAAAATGCTTCAAGTTACAAACATGAATATAAAAGAGATAACAGCCCCAACTCCTACATATGTATCTATATATATGGTCCTGAATTTTCAAATCAAAAAATATCATATTGATTATTAATCAATACTTTTTTCTTGACCAGAAGATTACCAATTAATACTTGAAACATATGAAACATACAGTTTTGGAGGTTCTTTGATTTCAAGCTCAATTTAATCCAATCTCCAAAGGAAACAAAATCTATATTATTTCAACAAAAAAAAAATTCATCAACTACTTTCCTCTCCTACTTCAAGTGTCCAAAAATCAAATAGAAAATTTTCATCTCCTCCCTTCCCAAATCTTTCGACAGCCAGAGAGAAAGAAGGAACAAAGGTAGCTCTTTAATCCTAAAAACACAATCTAGCTGAAAGAGAAAAGTTTCGAGCTTACACACAACTCAATGCACTGAAGGGACAATATTGATCGGGATTTGAGGGAGACCTGCCACTTTTGATTTTTCCTTCTGTGAACTGCGAATGCGAGTGGTGAAGGCCAAGCAAGACGTGGTGAGGTTGAGGGAGACTTGCGAGCTCAAAGCCTCAGACTTGCGATGTGACTGCGAGGTGGAGACTTGCTACTTTCGGTTTTGCCTTTTGTGAATGCGAGTTACAAAGGCGAGGTAGGAGGTGGTGAGGTTGAGGGAGACTCAGACTTGCAATGCGATTGCAATGCCATTGCAAGGTTAGGGAACGGCCGAACAAGGAGCTTTGCTGTAGACCATAATGTCGTTAGCGATGCTAAGGACCAGGGATTTTAGAGGAGGCAATTTTGGTTTGAGGGAGGGAGGAGAGCTGCACGAGCCAGAGGGAAACCAAGGGGGAATTCAACGAGAAAAGAGAAAAAGTGGGTTTTTTTTATATAATAAAAACAGCGTTGTTTTGGGCTTTCTAGCAGGCAAAAAAATATAAATCAAGTAACCCACCGAACCAGGGGTTACTGGTTTAATAGTTGTTCTCACCAATTGAACCGGTTTTTTACTGGTTCTATTGACCCACCAGTCCACCAATTAAACCAAACCGGTTCACCAATTTTCCGGTTGAACCAGTTGATTTGGTTCGATTTTTTTTCCTTAGTTCTAGCTAGTACAGATTATTAGTAAGGGTATTTTAGGGAAGACAACACTTATTTATTACAAATAACTAATTTAAAAAACTTTCTTAATCTACTCAAATTAGTCAATTAATTCTTATATTAAGGATTGGAGATAAAAATATATATCTCGCATCATGAGTCCCTAATTTAATCAGAATAAAATTTTATCTTGGCCTTTATTTATAATGCTCAAAGTAATATATATATATATATATATATATATTACATGCATAAGCCCTAAAATTCGATGTGTTATAGTGAGTTTTGGAAGATCTAGAGAGGACTAAAGAAAAATATGAAGAGATGTCCCAAATTGAGCCTAACCATATATGTTGACCGTGAAGACTATTAAGCAATAAAACATAATTATACCTAGCCTAACCAAATGTGTTTGGATTCCCCAAAAAAAAAGCACTTTTTTCCGGCAAGAAAAAAAAAGTATTGATAACTAATATGTAAAGGAGGGCGGGTGCGAAGAAAAAAACTTTAAAAGACAATATAATTGTCACTCAAAAACCTGGACTTTTAAAAAGTGTTTTTATATAAGTTGAGATAAAATTCTTTTTACATATTTATTTCAGATACTATAAAATAAAATTATGATTCAGTTTCCATCTAAATATCTCATAAAATTAAAAAAAAAAGTTGCACAAAGTTCAAGAGAGAGATTCTGCTATTTATAGATTTTGAATTTGAATAGTACAAAATTTAATAGTTTCTTTACATATTTTATGTTGATTTATTAATTATTATTATTTGAATGGAATATCAAGGAAAAACTATATTAGAGGTACCTATATTTTCTCTCAATTTTTAACTTGATATCTATGTGTTTTTTCCTCATAATTAAATCATTTAACTTTACTTTTTAGCAATATTAGTTCTTGTAACTTTTTTCTATTAGCATTTTTAGTCTCTAAGTAAAGAATAGAATAAAATTAAAAATTTAATTGAGAGAAAGAACACAGAGGTATTAAATTGAAAATTAAAAAAAAAAAAATATCGTTAGGTAACTTCAAAATGATTTTTTTGAATATCAATTATTAATATTAATTTGAATATGCATTGAATGGGAAGCCAATTTTGGGTCAGATTGGATGAAACATTTTTTTCCAAAAATAATATATATTGGTGTCCTATCTTAATGTTTTGCTGTGAAGGGGAATGTATCCCTTTGAAGCCACTCATGGTATGGGTCCAACCTTCGAGTTTTCAGAGCACATTGGAATGTCTACGTGAACAGGGCTCCTCGTGAAACAGACAAGTTCACATAGTTCATTGTACGGAGCTCTCAAAGAACTTCCAATCAATTGATGAGCTTCATCATAGGCCTCTGAAACTTCAGGGTTTTGGCAGAAAACTGATCAGAAGAGCATTTCCATGAATAATGCAACTGTGGTCTAACTTTGATTGGAAAAAAAAAAAAAAATCACTCCAATGATAAATGTAAGAATTAATAGACGGTTGACATAATGTTGGATGTCTATAATTTATTCTCATTTTAGTTTTGATATTTGTAGTTTCAATTCAAATAATAGTTTTTGTTCCTTTCAATTTCTTTAGCATGAAAACATTAGTTTCTATATTTTAATAAGAAATTAAATATTTTATCTCTTAACAAACCAGAACATGTTTGAAATTATAAAAACTAAAATCAGAATGAAGGCAAACTATAAGGACCAGACATTGTTTTATCCCATTACTAGAGTTTTAATTTAATTATAAATATAAAATCTCAATTCTTTTTATCTCTAAAATTTATAATTTAGTCAAACCCTTCCGACTAATTATACATATTAACAAAATTTTCTGTTGAAAGAGTTATTTTTAATACATAAGAATAAAAGATGTATTTAAGAAAAACAAACACGTTTTTTTGCAAATAATTCATTCAAATAATTTTTTTAATCTCTATAAATTAATTATTTAGTTACCATTAAGTTTCCCTTTGAGGTCATATTTCGAGTGTTTTGAAATCAATATATTATATGATGCATATTCAGATTTTTTTAGGAAAAAATTGTGTGAATTAACAAGCTACTGATATTTATTCTTAAAACTTCTCCTGATCCGATGATTTTTTTTTTTAACATGAAAGTAAATATTCCCTTTTGATTTTCCTTTCCGTGTGGGTGAAAGTTTCAAGGCTATTCAGTTGTTGTCCCAAAAAAATGTAATTGTTACTTAAAAAAATTGGAAGTTAACTGGATGCTGCCATGCTGGAATGATACTTAAACTTGTACAGATGGTTATGCATTAAACCATTACTTTTTATATTTTTCTGTCCATGTTGATGAAAGTTTCAAGGCTATTCAATTTTACTTATTGGTTGTCCCAAAGGGAAAATGTACTTCTTGTTGTGTTTTTTTGGGGTAACAAAGCGTACTTGTGGTTAGTTTTATTTTATACTCCAATGTACTTGTTATTTCACTTGCACCGCAAATTTGTTTGTAACCAAACCGTAAACCCTTCTCAATTAGGAGAAAAGATGTTTAATATGATTTCCTGATGGATCCAGCTTGTCATCCAACATTTGGCAAAATGATAGTCAGGAAAATAAAAAGCCAAATATTACCTTCACGCATCAACATTTTTCTTTATTTTTGTTTTTTTTCCTTTGGCAAAAAGCAACATTTTTCAATCAATGTTAATTAATATAAAATACAAGTTTATAACAAATTCCTATTTTAACAAGTTATATTTGGATGGCCAAAAAAAAAGAAGTTATATTTGACATTCTACCCCCCTCCCCAACACACACACACATAACCTAATTCTGCGATTAAAAAATACCCCTTCAAATTTAAGCCCCTCTATCCATTTCTTGGTTAACTTCATTCATACAAGTGAGCATTCAATCACTGATGCGTTGTTTCTAGATGAACAAAAATATGCATGTGGAAAGAAATACAGAATTTAATGTGAGATTGTTATAGACAAGGTCAATAAATAAAACAATAGCAATGCTCAAAGCTTGAAGGGCTTAAATCATCAGGAGGTTGAAGGAAGTATTTCCAACGGTCTCAAAATTGACAGGGGTGTTTAAAATTTTCATTATTGCTCTACCGTTCAGCTTAATGCATATATTAATATTAAAGGCAACTGCAAGAATAACCAAGCAGCCTAAAGAAATAAAATGCAACAAACACACAAGCAGCTTAAATCTTTTGTCAAATTCAGATGCAATAACATTACACACATCAATACTTTTATAGGCCACCCATAAAAGTCCAATGAATGAAGGCTATGACGACCATTGCATAATTTCTTTCCACTCCTGTTTATTTGAATAGCATTATGAGAAGAAGTTGGCGCTGCTTCAGAATTCAGATAGACAACTCAGTCTTGGACACAAGGATCCCATCATTATCAGCATACAACCATTCCCCTTCATGAATCAGAGCTCCTGCAATATAAACAGAAACATGCATTTCACCTATTCTTTTCTTGTTTGATTTCAGTGGATTCGTCGCCAAGGCTCTCAAACCGATGTCACATCCATTGATCTCATCAACATCTCTAATGCATCCATTCACCACAATGCCAGCCCACCCATTGTTTTGAGCTATTTGCCCCAAGTTTCCACCCACCAAAGCACATCTTGTGCTTCCTCCTCCATCTACCACGAGAACTCTTCCTTCCCCTTTTGTTTCAAGAAGCTCCCTCACCAACACATTGTCCTCAAAGACCTTCAATGTCACAATGGGACCTGAGAATGCTTTCCTTTGACCATAGCTCTGGAAAATTGGTTGCAATACACGCAATTCACCAGTTGGTACATGTTTTGCATTTGAATCACAAATGTCTGCAGTTGCTAAAGAGGCCATATTTCTATTGCAGCTCACTACAAATCACACGATCAAGCATGCATTCAGATGGTTTCCAGATCTGCAAATTTGACAAATAACGCTTCGTGAAAGAGGAATACCCAAACTCACCTTGACCAAATCTATAATTGGTGTTACAGACTGAAGCAGGTGAAACGTGTGGGCGTGGGAAGGGGATGCTCGTGCTGGGTGTCAAGCTTCCACGATATGAAATGGAAGTAATTAAATTTCTGAATCTGGTGATGGTACTTCTGCAAACTAAAGTCATGCGCGCTGCAATTTGAAGGATACTCTGCCCCAACCCCAATAATAGGCAGAGCCAACAAGATTTGGGAGGTCAAGATTACTTGAAAGCGTTATAAATGTGTTTAAGTACGTCAAAATTACGGGCAACAATTAGCCGAAAATGAACAAAGGAACTTACTCAAGAGATTGATTCAGACTTTAATTTCAAGCTAGGTAGGTGTAGGTTACCTGTAACATTCAGCGAGATGTAAATTTACCAGTTCAAGAAGAAAATGATTGATGAGGTTCAAAACACAAAGCAGTACAAAGAAAAGGGCTAAGGAGACTGTAGATTACCTGGATGAGAAATGAGAAAAAATTTAAGATCTATTCATACCGAAACAAGGAGCAAAGGGGGGGGGAAGAGAGAGAGAGAAAGAGAGAGAATTCCCAATATTACATCAACACACAAATTGTGCAAGACAGAAGGAACCAAAATTAATAAATTAATAAATAAAAAAGGCAAAATGATTAATTGCTGAGTGGAAGGCAATAGGATTCAGAAAAACAATATCAACAAGGCAGGGCAGAGGGAGAAGCATACCAGGGCAGCGAGAGAGCCGACTCTGACCCGACCCAGACCCAGAAAAACTGATTGTCGCTTTGTTTCTTCCCTTTCCTCTCAATTTCAGGAGGAAACCTGAGGAAAAAAGCAAGTAAATGTATGATGTATCCTTCTTCTTGGTCTGTGAAAGATGCCCCTGCGCCTTCGAATTTACATCCCCAAAATGGGAGCGGCTTTCCTCCTCTACCCTTACCGTTCACTTGCCCTCTTCTACCCAAAACTGTGTCGTTTTGGAAGTTAAAATGCGAAGGCCTGACCACTTTTTTATTTATTTTTAAGTAACACTCAATATCTTTAAATAATTTTTAACGCAAATGACAGTCAAATATTTTTTTAGCAGTGTCCAGTATCTAGCAAACTGCACTCTGAATTACTTTTTAGTAGCACCTAGTATCTTAAAAATAAAGGCTGAACCACTTTTTTTTTTAAACTAATATTCATCATTATAAAGTATTTTTCAATAACATCTAGCATTCTAAAATAATTTTTAGTACAGTTAACATTTTAAAATATCTTTTTAGTAGTACCCAATATCTAACAAGTTGGACATACAGTATTCTATTAGTAGCACACAAAAGATAATAGGGTGTTATTACAAGAAAATAATGTAGAGTATTTGATGCACTAAAAATTAGTTCAGGTTATTGTGTGCTATTGAAAAAAAAAAGTTTAGAATGTAGCTCGCTAGATACTGAATACTATTAAAAAATATGTTTGGGTGTTAGGTGCACTAAAAAATATTTTAAAATATTAGATATTACTATAAAATACTTCAAAGTAAAAGATGTTGATTTGGAAAAAAAGAAAAAAGACCAGCCTCCCATTTAAAACCCAAAACGGCACAGTTTGGGGTAGCGGAAGGGAAGTGAACCGTAAGGGTAGAGGAGGAAAGCCGCTCCCAAAATGCAACCAAAATGAAATAACTATGCTGTGGAAGAAGAAGAAAGAGAATAGCTACAAAAGAAATTTAATATTTTTATAGCATTATTATTAATAAATAATTAAAAGCAAGAGCGATAAGGACATTATGGGGAACAGCCGAAGGGGGAGGGGGAAAACAGAGATGATGGTGTAATGGAGGTGGACCGGAAAATGGATGGAATCTTTTACAGATATATGGGCGAGAGAGAGAGAGAGAAGCTTGGATCTTTAATCTTTGTCAGACACTCTCACGCAGTTTGGTTCCGTGAATAATCATTAATCTTGATTTTAAAAGCCAGGAATTTTTCATTTACTGGTGTAGTTTAATAATAATAATAAATAAATAAATATAATAGATAGATGCTTGTGTTTGTTTTGGTGAGCATGAAGCAGCGTGCTGGAGAAAGAGGGGCGAGTTAATAGTGATCTGTTTTGGTTAACTTTGATTATGTGTAAAGCTGTTATGGGATGTCAGATCAACCCAACCACGCTACTCTCATTCCTTTCCATTTAACTCACATCCCATACACCTCGGATTTCCGGTTTCTTGTGGCAATCCGTAATCCTATATATAGAATATTTCATTATACAGATAATAATGTAGAAAAATTTCCTCCATAATTATACTTATATTTTACTCCTCCAGTCTTTCATATAAGACCCATTTAACTAATTTGATTAAATTAAGAAAGTTAGGTAAGTTAGTTAATTATAAAAAATATGATATATTTTTCCTAAAACACCATAATCATTTTTTTAATATCCCTCTCTCAAACTACTTGATTATGATTAAGGGAGTATCCATAGAGATAATTTAAGAAAAATTAATAAATATGAAAAATAGGTCTTATATTTAGAACCAAAATCAACTCAATAATTAGGTTCTATATTAGGGATAGGAGGAGTAATATTTATATTAGATTTAATCTTTCTATTATATGCAATACCCACGTGAAAGTTGGGCTAGTCCCACAATCAAATATCATCTTGAATCTTTAATATAATCGTTAGTTTGATATTTAATTCAGAGTTAAATATATGATCCTAATTAATTTTGTCTCTTATATTTATTTATTTTTTTAAATTAGTCATTGTAGTAGTTGTACATATTAAATGTTCTATCAATTAGTAGTTTTAGCTAATACAGATAATTAGTAAGGGTATTTTAGAGAAGATAATGAATATTTATTACAAATAACTAATTTAACAAACTTTCTTAATCTATTCTAATTAGTCAACTAGTTCTTATATTAATGACCAGAGAGAAAAATATATACCTGACTCATGAGTCCCTAACTTCACCGGAATCAAATTTTCTGTTGGCCTTTATTTATAATGCTCAGAGTGTGAGTGTGTGTGTGTGTGTGTGTGTGTTACATGCATAATCCCTAAAATTGAATGTGCTTGAGTTTTGGCAGATCTAGGGAGGGCTAAAGTAAAATATGAAGAGATGTCCCAAATTGAGCCTAACGATATATGTTGACCGCGAAGAAGTACTAGGCAATAAAAACAAAATTATACCTAGCCTAACCAAATGCGTTTGGATTCCCCCCAAGAAAACAACTTTTTTTCAGCAAGAAAAAAAAATATTGATAATTAATATTTAAAGGAGGGCTGTGCAGAAAAAACCTTAAAAGACAATCCAATAGTTACTTGGAAACTTGCACTTTTAAAAAGTGTTTTAACATAACTTGAGATAAAACTCTTGTCATATATTTATTTCATATATTATAAAATTATTTTTAAAATTATAATTTTGATTTTCACCTAAATACCTTATAAAAGAAAAAAAGTTGCACAAAGTTCAAGAGAGGTTACGTTATTCATAGATTTCGAATTGAATAGTACAAAATCTAATAGTTTCTTTACATATTTTATATTGATTTATTAATTATTATTATTATTTGAATGGAATATCAAGGAAAAACCATATTAGAGGTACTTGTATTTTCTCTTAATGTTTAACTTGATACCTATGTGTTTTTCTCCTAATTAAATCATTTAACTTTACTTTTTAGCAACATTAGTTCTTGTAATTTTTTTTACTAGCATTTTTTTTTTGGTAAGAAAAGTGGCCTCAGGCCCAAAACAAAAAAAGTAAAAAAAATCAAGGGGGCAAGCGCCTAGAGACATCCGCAGCACGTCTTGCAACTTCGGCGTCTTCGACCTTGTCTTCCTCAACTAGTTTTGTTAGTGCCGAGGGGGTTTCTTCCCACATATGACAACCTAACTCCAACCCAAACCCCAGTTTCGCCAAAGCATCAGCACAAGCATTCGCCTTCCTGTCCACTTTACAAATTCTGACATTCCAGCTTCTTTCAAGCATCTGCAAAATCCGGCGAAAGACAGGGGGAATAAAGCACCCTTCTATCATCTTCCCTCGTAGCATTCTAATAAGCACCTCCGAATCAGATTCAACAATCACCTGATGAAACCCCTTTTGCCAAGCAATTTCCAACCCTCTAAGCATTCCCCATCCTTCAGCTTCCAAGACTCCACAAAAACCCAGCCTTTGCGTGAAACCACATATCCAGTTTCCTTGGTGATTTCTCAACAGACCCCCACAGCATGCAGAACCCGGATCCCCACGACAAGCTCCATCCGAATTGATTTTAATCCACCCTGAATCAGGAGGTTCCCATCGGCAGAGATACGAACATAAAGATGATATCTTTGAAGTTGAAAGCTTGCAAAGAGTCCCCTTCGCCTCCAAAATCTCCAGAGCCATCGACCAAATCTTCTGAGCTATCGCTCTACTATCAGGAATAGAGCCACAAAACACTCTCTCATTCCGGCTTCTCCACAACACAGAACATGCAACTCCGAATACAGTGCTCCAAGGTATGTTCCTTGTTCTTCTGGTAGAGGCTAAATTATTTTCAATCCATCTTTGTAATGTGACTGAGAAAAATTCTGGGTTTTGCTGCTCTGTTGAAAAAATCTGCTTCCAAACATTCTTAGCGATAGGACAATCTCTGACCACATGAATGGATGTTTCCATCCTTCCACACATATCACACATACCATTCTCCCCCCATCGTCGGTATCGTAACCCTCTCGTATGTAATCGATCTAAGGATAATAACCAGAGGAAACATCGGATCCTTTCAGGACCATTCCATTTCCAAACAAGCTCCCATACACGTTCCTTCACCCCCAATTTCTCTCCCCTTATACCCCGATATCCCTATTTGACCGAGTAATTACCATTGCCACCTTTCCAGAGAATAACATCACGACCCACCCCAACAGGGGGATGAAAAGCGTTAATTTTCTCCACCATATCTGTATTGAGTAAGAACTGGAATTTCTCCCAACGCCACTTCCCTTCACTATTAACCATGTCCGCAACCGACCACTCCAACCACTCATCACATATTGCTTGAGAACACTGATCAATTAAAATTGTGTCCTTGTCTAGCCATGGTTCAAGCCAAAAAGAGGTGCTTCTTCCGTCAACAATTCCTTTCCACGCATTATCATTAAGAGTTTCCCACACTGCTTCTAGGTCCCTCCAAAGGGCCGAAGCATTCTTTGGGACTGGTAGGATTGAAGAGAGCTCAATACCATTATTATACTTATGCCTCAGAACTTCACCCCAAAGCCCTTCCTCGCCATTCCTTAGAGCCCAGGCCAATTTCAATAGGCAAGCTTTATTCATGTCTCGCAAATTCAGAACCCCCATTCCCCCATTTACTTTAGGTTTCTGCATAATCTCCCACTTCACAAGATGCATCTTCTTATCCTCCCCCTTATGTCCCCAATTTTTTACTAGCATTTTTAGCCTCTACATAAGGGTTTACAA